AAGGCCGATGCCTCCGTCGCCCGACTGGATTGGGGGGTCCGGAGCCGGGCGGCTGCTGGCGGGAGCCGCGGTCGCCCGGGCCGAGATGGGGGGCAAGGCGGGCAACGGAAGGCTGATGCCTCCGTCGCCCGGCTGGAGTGGCCGCGGGGGTGGGTCTGGAGTCGGGCAGCCGCTGGTGGGAGCCGCGGTCGCCCGGGCCGAGACTAGCAGAAAATCCCGTTGTGAAACCGATACAACAGGATCTAGAAAGATGTGGTCTGTAAGGAACGCATAGGCTGGATGGTGGTAAGGTAAACAGTAGTGGGTGAGGGTGGGAGGGGGGTGAGGGAACAGCAGCGGCGGCCGGAGGCCTCTGCATTCCGTTGCCGGCCCTGGAGTGAGTGGAGGGGAAGGGACCCGGCCTCCAGTTGCCAGCCCAGGAGTCGGTGGTGGGGGAGGGGAAGGGAGCGGCCGACCTGAGGCTTCTGCCTCCTGGAGCATGGAGAAGGTGGGGGTTGCAGAGGGGTGGGACCTCAGACAGGTAGAATGCAATAGACTACACCCTCCAAACCAGCCATTTTGTCCTGGGTAACAATTGTTGCCAATCTCCAGGTGAGGGCTACAGATCACTCACAATTACAACTGCTCTTCAGGAAGCAGAGATCAGTTCCTCTGGAGAAAACAGTGGACTCTGTCATTATACCCTGCTGAGGTCACCACAGCAAATTAACACTGTTTGCCCAAAGCCAGAGCACTGCCCCAGAGCCTCTTTCTAGATCCCGTTGTATTGCTTTCACAACGGGCTTTACTGCTAGTAAAACAATAAAACACAATAGTAAGATTGCAACAGCAAAACCAAACAGAAGAGCATTTAGGCATATTTACTTGGGGGTACATGTAGAAGGTGTGGGGAAAGCATTTGGATCTTGAATCACAACCTGTCTCCCTCAGAACTAAGAACTGTATCTTGGACTGTCATATAAAGGCCAGTAGATCACTAACATAGCCCAAGCTTTGCATTCGGTGACTCCCACCATCTCCAGTTAAATAAGAAGGTTTCTTTCTGAAATTGTGAACAGCAACTAACAGTTAGCTTTATATGTAGAACTTCTTAACATTTAACGATGAGCACCATCCTCATGGGAGCCATTTTGTGGTCACACTCACTACTGTCTCTAAAAACTCAAAAGATACCCATAGGCCCAACAAACTTGGGATCCCTGCCCTATTCCTTGTGCTCTTTGGTATTTAATGATGATGGCATCCTGGCCAAGAGCTTTCAAAATTACGGAGCCAGACTTGTCTCCATTGTAAATGTGGTGTCTGGATTGTTAAGCAGTGTTTTTTTCAGCAACTGTTTTGTACCACACTGCTTTCAGGGAGTAGCCAGATTATCTTTTTCATTTAAGGGACAATGTAAGGGCTAAGCCGAAATGCCAAACAGGAATATGTGTGATGTGGATGATTGCATCAGCTGCAATTTTGACCTAGATTTCCAAGTTAGCTTTTGTAAATCATTCCTTGTTAAACAGATGTTTCAAATTGCTGTTCCCACAACACAATGGTGCTCATCCCATTTGAGCCTCTACAAGACCAACATTGCATCTCAGCAGCCTAGCTCCATACTGAGAAAAATGAACCTGGCTCCTAAATGTTTTGGATAACTACTAAATCCAAAGGGGGGAAAAACATAATTCTTTAAAAAGCAAAATATCTTCAGAATTAAACAATATGTTTTAAAGCTTTTTTAAAAAATTAGCAATACCAATATAGCAGTTAAAAAGTTTACATACATTACAGTGTCTACAATTGTAGTTCAATGATTTATATTGTAATATTAAAGTCTTTGTTAATTTTTGATGAGTAAGAAAAATTACTAATACTTAAAAGCCAATTGGATAATTCACTAGGAATAACTTGCTTATCACCGAAGGGCAAGAAAAATTCTGTGGAGTACCACAGGGAAAATATCTGTTTATCCTGGGTTTTGGACATAATTGTCCCCAGGTTAACAATTTATGTAGTATGTAACTTCTACATAATCATATTTTAAAATGTGACGCTGTAAACTGTAGTATTGTAATATTATATGATGTAATTATACATGTCGACTTAACACAGTCATACATACTTGGCAAAGATGACATTTTAAATCACCCATATTTTCCATATACTTCTAAAAACATGCCTATGTTTTCAGTTACATGGCTACACTGATTTTCCTATCTAAAGCAAATCAATAAACCAGTAACCAATCAGCAAGACTTTAAAAATGGCATCACTTACTTGGATCACTTACTTAGAAAATGTTCATGTTTGGAGATACCAACAGGAAATATCAAGCATTACTAATGGGCACTGCACTTGTTAACATAATATGGGAACTACACCTATGTTTATGTCAACCTGTTTATGTAATCATGATCAAAATTCAGACTTCATATTTAAACAGTGACTGGGGACAAAAAAAATATGGATCCATTCTCAAGACATGTTTCCTTGCAGAAGCTTCCACAACATAATGTCTACCTTATTATAAAGAAAAGGGGTTATACAAATAGACCAATTCATTAGACTACAGGATGAAGTAGTAGAAATTTGAGACTGTGCCCTCTTAAAAATCTGGAATGAAGTTAAATGTCTCAGTTAAAATTCTGAGTTGGGTCTCTCTTATCGAAGCAATGACGAAACTATCGTTATATAATTTGGAACAGAAGCACTGCTATGACAACCTATTAGATGGTAATAATAAACTAAGAGATATAGAAACTTTGCAAAGCCAAGGTACTGAACTGTCATGGTTTGAAAAATGGCAAGTAGTATTCAGAAATAAGGAAGATGAAAAGAGTTTTTTATAAGAAATCTACAGATATTGATAAAATATGGT